TCTTGAATCCTGGACTGTTCAATCCGCAGTCCGACACACTGACGAACCTGAAAATAGAGAAACGTGCTCAGCAACTTCACGTCTTGAATCCTGGACTGTTCAATCCGCAGTCCGACACACTGACGAACCTGAAAATAGAGAAACGTGCTCAGCAACTTCACGTCTTGAATCCTGGACTGTTCAATCCGCAGTCCGACACACTGACGAACCTGAAAATAGAGAAACGTGCTCAGCAACTTCACGTCTTGAATCCTGGACTGTTCAATCCGCAGTCCGACACATCGATTATCTTGTATCATAATTGTTTGTTCAGATTTATCAATTAATGAAAAAGAATGCAACTATACCATTTTCAAATCTGTAATTTTTTATGCGTTCTAATCATCAGATATTAGACAGTTTCTTTGAGACCTCTCACCAATTTTAAATCGATCTGAACAAGAGTGGTGTCTGTTGAAAACCGAAAAAAAAATGTTTATTTTCACCAGAATTATGGGTAGTACTTTTTGAGTGGAGGTAAGTGAAATCGATATTCTTTTTTTTTCTTATGTTACTGATGAGAGTGGGTTTGATGTTAATCGCAAAACTACACGATGGGCTCTCTGTGCTGCGCCCACCATGAGTGTCGAAACCCGGTTTTTAGCAGTGCGAGCTCTCAAACTTACCGCTGAGCCACTGGGACCAATGATTATATAAAGCAACCTTTCGTAATTTTTTATAACGTGCTGTAAATAAAGCATGTAAGTTCAGTCAAGTGTACATTTTCGGTATTTTCTTGTTGCTAATGGCAGTTTTACGTTTTTTTTTAATTGTTTGTTGTTAGACATAAAGCTACTCAATATTAGCTTTGCCAACCGCAGGTATCGAAACCCAGTTTTTAGCCTTCCGACTTACCTCTGAGCCACCAGAGGACTTTATTGTTTGTAAAAAATGTAATCTCGTGAATCGCAGGTATTGGAGCTTGCCGCAAGACTGAGTTATAAACACGCCATTTTCTTTCTTCTAGTTTATTTCTGATCAAATTTTCTTTTTTCACCCCAAAGAGAAATATATATATATGACAACTCGAGATTAACTTAATCTTTGTTATTACTAATCGCTGTACGCGTTCTATGTAGAAATATTTACTGCTCTGACTTTTGTCCCAAACTCTCTGACTCATGAGTCGAGAGAGAGTGAGCATATTTACATAGAAAGAGATTTCTGATGACGTCATTTCGCTGAGGGACTATTTCGTTACTAAAGCTCAGTAAGTTCGCTAGAACTCAGAACAATTTTTAACCCTAAATCTCCCTAGTAATCGAGTCCATGAGAAGTTGTTTCAGATTAATGACAGTATACTGAAGTGACAAATTAGCATTTATAAAGCATCAAAATAAAAGCTGTTACGTTTCTCTCTTTCGCGCAGTTTGGCTTCGGTAGAAACGTGTTATTTAGACAATCGTGCCCGTAAACGAGGTTTACATAGCGCTGTTGAAACCGTGTCCTTATACAATGTTTATATAGGAGATTTATTGGAACAGTGCCATTTGTATAACAGTGTCCCTATACAATGTTTACATAAGAGACATGTTGAAACTATATAATTTGTACAATCGTGTCCCTATACAATGTTTACATAAGATATTTGTTAGAACAGTATCATTTGTATCACCGTGTCTCAATACAATGTTTACATAAGAGACATATTGAAACTGTATAATTTGTACAACCGTGTCCCTATACAATGTTTACATGAGAGACATGTTGAAACCGTATCATTTGTACAACCGTGTACAACAACGCTACATAAAACTTAAGCAAGTCATTTTGATTGTACCATTTGAGAATATGAAACATGCACATTTCATTCTTGTGAAAGGGGGTTTTATTCCATTCGCAAGCACATTTCATTCTTGTGAAAGGGGGTTTTATTCCATTCGCAAAAATCAAATCATAGTTGCATTTGAACCACATGAAATGCAGTAAGAAATCTTCTTATTTATATAAGAAACGTTACAAATTAACACTTAAGTTCAAGAGTAAAGACGCTCCGCTCTGGAAACGTTGGTACTAATTTCTATCTTTAAACAAGTTACACATAGGCTTTACACACATACATACACACCTTTAAACATACCTGTGCACTGAAGTAATTATTATCTCTACATTACATCGTATCAGATTGTGATACGATTATGAAGTCATGTCTTTTTTTTTTCTATTTCTGTTCAGGTTTGAGAGTCAAGATACTGTGAGGAGAAATACAGTCATGTGAGACGGCAGCCTAGAAATCAAGAAACTGAAAGGGAATAAATAAAGTTCCAAGTCTAGCTTGATTGTTGACATCTGCAGACACGACGAGAGATGGAATGGAAGACTTAAAGAGATGAAGTATTCTGCTCTACTGACTTCTGTAGTCGAATCAATGACGCGTAAAGAACGTCATTGGCCGCAGGGTGTCTTGTGACTACCTGATGAGTAACAAAGAATACCCCACTGTCCTGATACAGCTCAGTTACACAAAGAAAAATCCTTGAAGCAACGTGCAGAGTAATGGAACTTTAGGTATTAACAGCGTGGGGCATTGGTGAGCACGTGAAGAGACGGGTATTAACAAGAATGTCGAAAACAGCTCGATCATTTCTATGGCTAATAGTCACACTTATATTGTATCTCTTTGACAAAGCTTATAGTCTTGAAACATCCACGAGCTCTCTGAGCACTTATCCGCCATTACAAGACATCCGTTTTTCTGATGAAGAGACTCTTCAAAATGCAAGTAGAGCTATTGGTAACGAGAGTATTAACGATGATGGTGTTTATTCTATAGTAGCGTCTGTTTTACAAGTATTAAATACCAGTTATACTAATGAATACCAACCTCTAACTTTCAGTCACATTCTTACTCGCGATAATTCGAATCTACCAGAGAGAAACCGGGTTAAAGGAGACGTGAAAACCAACTCATCGGAGTCGAAAAACGATCGATTTCCATTAAAGCACTTCTTTGATAATACACCACTGTACGAAGAATTTAATTTGACAGCTAAAAATAATGACGAAAATGCATTTGTGACTCAAGAAGACTTGCAGACGACCGTTTTTAGTAGTTCTCGTGATATCGAATCACGTCATAATAATTCACAACATGCAGAATCAGTGAAACGAAAGCACAATGATATACATTTCGCACATTTCTTGAGAGACAGTCACACACCTGATTTCTTGGTTAACCCTACTAAAACTATCCGTGAAATAACCAGAGATGGTATGGTTCCAGAGTCGTTTGTCATCACACAACACAATTATTCAACCAGTCGACCCCCTTCACTTAGTCATCGCACAAATGTCGGTAACAGTGATAATTTTTCAGGCCTTTCGTTCATCGGCAGCAGTCATTATTTGGAAAACAATGCCACCAATAACTCAAATGTGCATGAGCAACCAGCACCACAGTATAGTTCCACAACACGCCCGAAAACAGATGTCCCCGATGTTTCTGTGGAATTGTCCCTACAGCGCTACTACGACACTGCATTTGCAGCAGATGCGACTAATATTTCCAGTGAACTTCCATTGGTAAACAACTCCAAAACTCTTTTTGGATCACAAATTTCAGATCATTTGGAAGATCCAATATCACAATATGACGCGTCGAGTTATCCTGAAATAGATACGGTAAATGTTTCTGAAGAATCAGTTCCAAAATATAGCCTTACTACAGCTGTCACAGTTTCTTCCAAGAAACAAGCATCAGAGGATGACTCCACAATAGATATTGTAGCAAATGTTAGTGATGCTCAACGAAAACCTAAACCACAGCATAACTCTAATACTTCTACAGACTACTTTGTAGTAAATATTTCTGGTATTCATCGGAAGATTCCACGTCCACATAACTTTACAAGTAGTCTTAGAAAGGAGGTCCTCATCGATCCAAGAAATCTGGCATGGCAACAAAGCTCTACCAGTAATATCACGCTGGATACTTCTATTAAAATTAGACAACAGAACAACTCCAAGAGTGATTTAACACAAGCCATATCTAGCGTTACAGCAAAACCAGCTTACCATCATGAATCTACTAGCCATCATACGAGGAATGCCTCTAATGTTTCTCAGAAACCTGTGCCAGATTACATTTCCATGACACATATAAGAGTAAACAACTCCATTGTTAGAAAAAAACAATCACTGAAGCATAAAATACAATGGTTTCCACTATTTAAGTCTCCCACCGCATTTTCGGACCAATCCAGTAACTTTTCATATCCACTTGAAATCAATGACACGCAACCACTTTCTAATAAACAGGTTTTTGGAAACGCTGGTGATAAGTTTTTTTTCAAACGAAATCCAACTGTGAACAATACATTTGGTGTATTTACACTCGAAAATCAAGCAATACAGAATGCAAACGAAACTACGCCATTTCTTGATGCGAGTTTGAACCCACTCATTAAATCGATTAAAGAAGTCAAACCAGAGCCATTAGAGGTAGATTCAAAGTTGTCTGACTGGTATAAGAAAAACAGAAATATGTTTCAATTCTTCGACAAAAATAAATCACATTTTCCTACTACAAGTTTTCCAACCATGGTTAATACTGAAGAACAACTTCACAACACATCTTTGAGTGAAGATAACTTTGCATTAAAGGAAGTACTTACAAAAACATTAAAACTTCCTAATAAAAATTTAAAGAAGAATTTTGACAAAATCGATCAGTTTTCCACTCTAGCGTCAGAATCAAAACCAGGTGAATCATCAAGTATGCATCTCCAGAAAAAAAAGCAAAAATATTCCATAAGACTTCTTAAAACCTCAACGTTTGACCAACAACTCAATGATCTACCATGGGATATAGAGCCAATTACTAGTTCTCTTAATCTCGAACATCAACAGGAAAACATAAATTCTACAGAAAATAACACTGTTCAAATTGAGAAAGACAATTCTGTTGAAAATCAATCAGAATGGGAAAAATCTAAAAACATGTTGGGAATTGCATGGGAACTCCATGTTTATGTTACAGGTTCCTCGTTCGGACTTTTGGCACTTTATTCTTTTGTAAGTATTTTAAAGCTAGGGACATATGAGAAACTTCTTAGTCGTGGATATTTTATAAGTATTAGTTTAATGCTTTTTGTCATGGGAATCATTAGAGCTCTGTACTTACTTTTCGATCCTTATAACACACAAGGTTTTTATCCCCCTGTTTTGAATAATTTCATTTTCAACAGTGGCTTTCTCTGTGCAACTTCAGCTTTTGGTGTTTTATCCTTAGCTTTGCTGCAAATCACGCAAGTTGACATTTTACCTCAACATGTCCAGAGTCCAATATTTTTATCAGGAGTTACAATTTTTCAGTTTGCATTTTCCTTCACAACAGATGTTTTACAAGGATTTGGTTTGGGTGAGACATTATTGCTTTTAATTTTTCAGGCCACGCAGTTGTTGTGGGCATTAACACTAGCTCTTGGATACATATATGCTTTCAGAAAGCTATATAAATCAGCAGTTAAGAAACAAAGTGAGATGATCCGAGTCGCTTTTACCAGACTTCATATCGATGGTGCACAGCTCCCAAAGAAACTTCCAAAGCCTACTTTGTGTCTTGCTGTGCGATCAACAGTTATAATTGCACTGTTTGGCCTGCTGATGGTTGCTCTGCGTGTGTTTGGAATAATTTACATTGATGGCATATTCGAAGCTAAACCTCCTACATCATGGACTTGGTGGGGTTATCAGTTGGGTTCTCGTATAGTGGAGCTTTTATTGTGTTTTACGATTTGTTTCATAGCAACACTTCCAATGAAGCGTTTTGAATCGAAGCAACAGAAATGTCGTAAATATTTATTGTGGGTACCCTGCAATACTTCTTGTTCCAGAAGCGAGGAAGTGGAAAGTGAAATATTTCCGATTTATTTTCCTAACTATCAAGGTCAGCCAAATGTGGCTTTCCATACAACATCTCTAGAAAGACCAAGACGTTGGAACCACACTACTTCCCTACCCACAATTCCAACTTTTACCAAAGAACTTGACAGTGGTTTTCAGTTGAAAAGAGTCCCAACTGACAATAATGGGTTAGACGAACAAACGAACTCTAATGCATCAAATATTTTATCTTTTGAATCATCGAAACATCCCGCTAGTAAAAATGTTACAAATGATCTAAATGGTGAATTACAGAGGCCAGTTGCTACACAAGGTAAACTTACTGAGGAAAATTCAACCTCCTCCTCCATGTTGTACATAGATCAAGGTTACATACGCTTCCGTACTATTACTGACCCAGAACAGCCTCCAATACAGCTCACTGATGGTGATTCATCTGAAGAAGACAACTGTCACGATGAAAACGAATCTACCAGGGCTCACGCTGGATCCAGTGTACACACGTTGTATGAGGAGGATGTTTTTCAAAGTTCGCTGTCTCCATTCTTCCAGGCCGGTTTTTATCAATCACGACTTAAAAGAATGAGCCACTGGAGCTTGGACACAACAGACAACAGCATGGAATTGTCTCCCGAACAGCTGAGCAATGTGACGTCCAAGAACGGATTCTCCAGTAGTGCTCTGGACTTTACCCCCCGGAAACAAGGCAGCACTTGCAGCTCCGAGAGTGCTGCCAATAGCTTTGATGTGACTTTTTTTCTTAACCGTTCTGCTGGTGATTCGGCTGTTATTTCACAAGCTATATTTGGTGAAATTGATGAGGATAAAGCATCCAACGTCGATATTCCCCACAACATGGCGCGCAGCGTCTCTCCAATAGCTGCGAGTGCACGAAGGAATCATGACTTCCAGCTAAACTTGGATCTTCCGTGTTCAAGTGGTGTCGGGCAAGTGAACGTAGCTTGTGGAACGGAGGATATAACACCAGACTCGGCGGTTTACCTCGACCTGCAGCTTTCTCAAGAAAGCTCTTGTAAACCTAGAAATGACTTTCTCTTGGAAACACACGAAAGAAAATCCTCGTGTAGTCAGTCCATGACAGGCATAGACAAGTCCAGAACCATTGTTCTTTCATCAAAAGAAAAATCAACAACCAAGATAAATTTCAGGGAGCTCTTTGACCGTTTTAAAGGGTCGACGTTTTCGTTAAACACTAATTTTAGTGGTTACGAACCATTAGAGACAGAAACCCTCTCTCCTAGAAAAGGCGAACTTCAACCAGCAAGGCAACTAAAGAGATCGAATAGCGACAAAGGACCGACCCTTAATGAGAATCACGCTTATTTTAGTTCATTTGGAGTATTAAAAAAAGATCATTTTATAAACATGGAACAGTTGCATCAAGGTGATAGTGGACTTTTGAAGGACTCACCAGAAATCTCGAGTCAGGTCGACCAAGCTTGCCAGACGGAGCCAGTGTTCATCAAAGAACAACGAAGTGATAGAAGGATTAGAGCTGATAGAGAACAGTGTAAACGGCCAGCACTTAGGAACATACAAATAGTAGTGTAGTTAGAAATGTGATGTTTGGATTGTCATTTAAAATACTCTTGTAAATAGTTCAAACCTTTGTATACATTAAAGTGTAAATAGAATGTGATTGGTTAGTTTTAATTCCAATACCAACACTCCAGGGAAGTAAAGATGCACCCATGGAAATATCCTCTTGTATGATCTGTACAATGAAGTCTAAACTCCAAAGTGCTGTATCGCAAAATTGTGCCTGTTCGTTCACAAGTAATTGTGTGTGAGAAACAATCATCTTTTAGTTTAAAGACAGTCAGGTGTAATTATAAAGTTGAGTAGTATAAGCCCTTGAAAGTCATTTTTTTGTCAGCTTTTGTTTCCAGTGCTTGTAATGTATATAAAATGGAGTTATCAAAAACTAGCATTAACAGAATTTTTCAAATATACAACACTTATCAAATTATCATAGTAAAAAGGTAGATGTGTATTTTGCTATTGACCGCTGTTGAATCGTGTTGAATATATATATATATATATATATACATACACATATAAAATGAAACAATTAAATGTTTTACATATCACTGTATATTTTTTGTTGCAGAATTAAGAAAAACAATATTTACTACATGTATATTTGCTGAATGCATAATGACTTATCTTCCATGAAGCATTATTTGTTTCTTTTATAGCAATTGTTCCCTCTCGTTGGCCCTCTTTATTCTAAACTTAAAAACAATGTTACAGGTTCAAAATAGGTAAACATCAACAACAGACATATGCTCATATTCAACCATACCGTACATCACTAATGTTAGCTTCAATTGTGACATTTAAACCACAGAATTATATACAGAACGCAAAAGAAGCAAACCTAGGCTACTAGTCCTGCAACCGTTATTTATTCACACGAAGGTTGGCGATCCCGGTGATCCTTCACCTCATGAAATGAAGTAGCTTCAAAAGAAGGTCTACAACAGCAATCCATGTAACAGGGCTTACCACTTTATTCTTAACTATTCTCAAGCGAAAAAAGCAAAAATAGAGAAAGCAGCCGGAATCCTTCATCACTGATGTAAGATTATTAGATTGCTTAAATGGTAAAGTATCAGAAGGCCTGTTCATTCGTTTAAAATGTCATCTTTAACAAATGTAAGTAGTTCTCACGAATTTCTAAAGAACGTTTTAATAAGCGTCCTTACTTTGGTGGGATAGTTACAGTAGACTTTATAAATTTATCAGTAGATGTAAGTAGTAAACGAGAAGCTACCTTTTCACATAAGCGTTTAGTAGAAACCGGAGTGACATCCCATAGTGTTACTGGTAACCTTTGTCCTATGTCATTGGACCACACTTTCTATATATCTTCTCGATAAGATCATCGATGAAGAAAGAAATAACAACATAAACCCCCACATAACGACTTTCTGTAAAACCTTCTCGCCCTATATTTCATTAGGCAATTGAAGTATGCAACATGAGAACGTCATTTTTTAGTATAGAAGGTATAACGACAACTTTACATTCTTCACACCATTAGGGTAGATATCAGAATGTTCTTCAACCACTGGTATTTTAAATGTAGTGAAGTATTCTATAACAAAATGATGATTATTTTGCTCACTACAAAAGTTTAACTTCCCACGTTCTTTACATTCTTCACACCATTATGGTAGATATCAGAATATTCTTCAACCACTGGTATTTTAAATGTAGTGATGTATTATATAACAAAATGATGATTATTTTGCTCACTACAAAAGTTTAATTTCCCACGTTCTTTACATTCTTCACACCATTATGGTAGATATCAGAATGTTCTTCAACCACTGGTATTTTAAATGTAGTGATGTATTATATAACAAAATGATGATTATTTTGCTCACTACAAAAGTTTAACTTCCCACGTTCTTTACATTCTTCACACCATTATGGTAGATATCAGAATGTTCTTCAACCACTGGTATTTTAAATGTAGTGATGTATTCTATAACAAAATGATGATGATTTTGCTCACTACAAAACTTTAACTTCCCACGTTCTTTACATTCTTCACACCATTATGGTAGATATCAGAATGTTCTTCAACCACTGGTATTTTAAATGTAGTGAAGTATTCTATAAAAAAATGATGATTATTTTGCTCACTACAAAAGTTTAACTTCCCACGTTTACAAATGTAATTAGATGTTGAAGAAGATTTTAATATTTAAATAACGTGATATTTCATTATTAACTGGATGGTTTCATACACGTCCTGTTAGCTTGTAGATTAATCACTTGACGTCCGTGTTTTGTGTTGACTGGTATAGCGTATTATAGAAATAATAACTTCTAAACCATTAGATTTGTCCTTCTCATCTTCTGTTGAGATATATGATGTATGATTAAGTTAATAAAAATCTAGAATGATGCAGTTAACGTCCTCATAATTTGTTTGATATGATGCATGATAATTTGTGGATTATTGTAACCTCGTTAGGATGGGATAATTGTTTTGACGTATGATAAATTGAACTGTTACGACTAACGTCTTAATCATTTAATGTTTAACATGATGTGTGACAACTAGTGGAATGATGGAAAATCCTAAATAGATGGTGAGTATTTTCTTGTCTTCCTCTAATTTCATTGACTTCTGTAACATGTTTGCGAACCGATTAGCTTGTCTTTCTGCTTTTCTATAATTCATTAGAATGGATAAAATAACTTGTAGACTGGAAATGACGAACTTCACTGAACCTTCCAAGACGAAATTTTTAGGCCTAAAATTCTCTAGTAGATAAAAAAGGGATTAATCTTACAATTAATATTAAAGTACAACTAATCACGCATCCTTATGTACATTTTGAAATTATAGCTTCAAAGATTTAACAAGATATTGATAAGTGATTAATAAGACTAAAACCAATTTGTGAATAACTTAAAATGTTAAATTTAGGACTTTTGTATTAAAACAGGAATAAGAATGGTATGTCAAATGCTAGTTTTAGAACGCGTAAAATAAAACGAAAGAATTGTTTACCAACTGTGTGCTCTGTTTCCTATTTGTGTCAAAAGGCTTAACGAAATCCCACCTGAAATCCATTCAACTTTGTAAAAATAGCAACCATTGAAATATTTTGATGTTTCCTGAATGATTATCTTGTGTAGATTATTTATTCAGGCCTTTTTTTTTTGTTTTCAACAATGGTGTTTTAGTGGAGCTGTGTACTGATGAGCTATTTACCTTATAATGTTTATCGAACAAAACAAATTAAAAAAACCCTGTAAATATCACTGCCACCCTTTCTAAGTGTTTGTGAAACTGTAAAATTCAATGTGAACTTTTCAATAAAAATTTACCTTCATTTTATTTTTGTTTTACATCATATTTTGTCACCACTGGTTCCTCTCGCCATCTGGTGGTTGATAAAAGCATTAACCACTAAAACACGAGAAGAGTTTTAATAATCTTATATCATGCAAACTCAGTATTTTTAAACTTTCATCTAGTTAATATGAATGAATTTTTAATAAAATATGAGGAGTTAAAATCCTTCAAAGTAGTAGGTAGACAGTTATTTTTAACGATCTGTAACGTCTATAAATTGTAAGAAAACATTAAGAAATTGAAGTAAAATATTCTGGACTTTACTATTTTGAAGTGATAGACGAGTAAGATTTGTTTATTTGTTTAAAGTCAAGCACAAAGCAACAAAATGGGCTGTCTGTGCTCTGCCCACTACGGGTATCGAAGCCCGGTTTCTAGCGTTGTAATCCGTAGACATCCGCTGTGCCACTAGGGGTAACGAGAAGGAAGGTAGCTAGTCAATACCACCAACCGTAAACTCATGAACCACTCTTTGCTAACGAAAAATGAGATTGACCGTCACATTTGAACACCCCCACGGCTGAAAAGGGGAGAGTGTTCGGTGACGGGATTCGAATCCCCGACTCATGGACCTTATATGCTTAATATTTGATTTATAAATTCATCTATGTGATCTTTAATTATCGAATATTAAAAAAAAATTATTTTAAAAGTAAATTATCAATAATTAAGAAGATATATTAAATCAGGAATAAACAACTGAAACTTAACTTAAGGTGTAATGAGTGTAGTGATTTCAATTAGAAGTTAGCTCTAACAGACAGTCATGATTATTATCACTGATTCGACAGAAAAATCAATCCAAATTTATCTGAAATATTAAGAAAACATACACAATATATATATATATACAATTTTTTAAATGAATAATTGTACAGGACCTTTTCATAGGAAATAGCAACTACTGTCGTAAAATAAAAACATTATTAATTTCCTGATTATACTACTGTGTGAACGAATTTAACTCACTAAGCCACTATACACGTGATTGAAAATAGGTTGTTAAAGAAAGGGGCTGGCTCTGTAGTAGAGCTTGAGCTCTGGATTTCGGAGCTGACTATCCAGATCCGAATCCGTCCGTTACCATAAAATATCCCCCCCCCCCAGGTGGTTGCGTTATATGAGTGACAAATAAAAAATAAAGAAGTAATCAATAGAACTATGAATACAACAAACCTTAAGATTAGAGTTAAATCTGAAACGGATATTGCAACATGTGAGTCTGTACAAGTAGTACTTTCACATCAAAGAGCATCAGAAGTAATTATCTTTGAGGTAAGATATAGGAAGTCTAATATGAAGTCCTCACATAAGGACAGCTTACCATTTCACTTACAAGATCTATATAACCTGATCTGTGGAAATCTTACAGCTACTCAATGCCATAAATTACATAACTTTCTCACAAAATGTCAAGATACCTTCTCCGGTGGACTGAATTACTAAATCCAAACAAATAAAATACCTGATTGATACTAAAAATGCAGCCCTAATACATCAGTCATCCAGTTGTTTCTTACTTGTAAAATAGATTAATGTTTTCAAAGAGATGGAAGTCATGGAGAAACAAGGAATGATAGAACCTGCTAATCCTTGGGCATCACCTATTGTACGTATGCAAAAGATGGATGGATCCACGACGTTCGGGTGAACTACCAGAAGGTGCACGAAATCACACACACACACACACACAAAAAAGGATGGCTACTCACTGTCAAAAACTGATTCTACTTTGGATGCTTTATCTGGATCAAAATGTTTTTCAATATTGGTTTTTAAGAGTGCAAGTTGGTGAATCAAGTAGAAGAAGACAACACTTATACTGCAGAAAATGAACTGTGTCAAGTTGTTATGTTACTATTTGGATGAAATCATTACACATGAGAAGACCTATGATATATTCTTATGATGAAAAGGTGGGTTTTATGGTACACATAATCAGCAGAAGGGAGAGCTTATGGATCCATCTAAGTTTTAATTGTTCAGTATTGGCCAACAATAAAAGAACTTGCATGAGGTAAGAGGATTTTTTGGAATGTAATCTTACTATCATCATTTTGTAAAATCATTCATAGCTCAACTTCTACACAAACTACTTGAAAGACTCTGATAAGTTTTATTAGACTGCAGGTTGTGAAGATTCAACTACCAATTATGTATTAGCATACCCATTTGAGATATAGATGCTAGTGATTTTACAGTGGGAACAGTTTTATCACAAGTGCAACACAGAAAAGAACATGTGATTGTCTACTATAGCAAGGCAATAAATGCTGTATAATGGAAGCATTGAACAATTTGGAAAGAGCTACTAAGTGTTTACCGAATCCTTTCTATCATTACCTTTATGAATAAACGCTTACACTCTGGATGATCATGCAACATTGAAGTGGCTGATATTATTTTATTTTCAATCCAAAAGGCCAGATAGTAAGTTAATTCAAGAAACCCCAAGAGTATATTTTGAGCATCATGCATCACCTTGGATGGTATCATGGAAATACTGATGCGCAATACCGAAGAACATGCATTAATGACGATTGTAAACATTGTGAAAAGAGGGAAGTACATGATAGTAAAGATGGCCAACCTACAGTACAAAAGTAGAGTACAATCCAAGATTTGATACCCATAGGATATGGTGAAGAACTAATATTGTCCAACCCTCAACTTAAATATGCTGAGACAAAAACTATGGGTTTGAAACCAGTTATTCATTGTATCAAAAATAGTGCAGAAAAACCTTCATAGGAAACAGCTGCTCCATACAGCCCAATGTACTGGGCACAGTGGAATTAATTATTTTTACAAGAAAGTTTGTTATGTCAGAAATGGGAAGATACCAGTGGTCAGAATCAAAAACTACAGCTGGTACTTCCACAATCTCTACATTCTGAAGCATTCCATCATCTCCACAACCCTTCAACACCTGACACTTAGTTGTCACCTCGAAATATTGCTTTATGATAATTTCTTCATCCTATACATAAACTTTACATAAATAACTTATTTCACGCCAGACTTCAACAAGTGTAGATCACACCAATGGTGATTTGAAACCACCTATCTTTTAAATTTATCAAAAATTGTTGGATTTGGGTTCAAAATAAATGATTTAATCCACATAATAAATAAACAAACAATTAATGGCATGCTTGCTTTATGCATATAATGTACTTGATCATAAATTTTACCCAAGTGTCGCAGGTGCCTGTATTAAAATGTGATTTACGGCTCAAAACCTGTTGATGCCATTTTCTTCACATATTTGTTATTTTAATGGTTAATTTTATAATGGTATTTGTAAAATTCTGCTGATTATATTATATATTGTAGTTGCTTATCATTTGCCTGAAAATAGTGTTGTCATTACTGTTATCGTACTTGCTTTTAATACATAGTAATAATAGTAGTTGATGTTATTACACAGAATAATACTTTAAGTATACGGGATACAAATACCCGGTATACTGTGATACAATTCACTTTGAAATTAATGTAATTAATACTGGTTTTTGCACAGTACGATGCTACCAAGAGGTGACCACAAGATAAACTAAGCATTTGACACATGTCACGCATGCGCAGCTGCGTTGAAGAGCTCCATTTTCTATTTCGAAACCGCGCTAAATCGAAAATTGCCATCGAAGGTGTTATCTCGTACGTACGTACAAGAGGAGACCTTCAATTTTTCTTTTTTTTTTTACTTTGCAGTTCAGGATTCCCTACGGAAACCCTGAAAATATGGCCCAAATAAACTTTAAGTTCTGATTCACGAGAAGTTTATTTTAATATAAAGTATATTATTATTATTATGGGCATGAATAAAAACCCTATAACCGAGGGTTTTTATTCATTTCTATCAAAACTTCTTGAATCTACGTGTTTTTCTGACATCATTAATTATTATGGGCGTGTAATATTCAAAATACAGTAACACCAACGTGACTTGTAGGTGTTCAGTACGAACCTTCAAATTGATGATCAAGTAACTGCTATGAAACTGATGTGAAATGCTATTATGAAACAGACACACCAACTAAAGTTTCCGTAGAATTAGACATAATTATTGTTTAATTTATGCATTTAAACGTACAACTTGTTATCTCGTACGTACGAGATGAGAACTTCAATTTGTTTTTCACTTTGCGGTTAAGTTCTTCTGTATTATCGCGACTTGCCATGCTAACGGAAAAAAGTTCTCTAATATGAAAACCATCTAAAAACGAAAACGCGCTAATAGAAAGCGCGCTAAACGGGGGATTCCGGTAGAGCAATGTTGATCTGTAAAAGCCACCACAAGCAAATTAAAAAATGTCAAACCCTATAGTTTATACTTTTAGGGTACCCAATATTAAAAAAATATGGTTGACAGGTTTACGCTCTCAAGTTCACTAAACTTAAATTGAGGACTCAATCTCAGTTTGGCTCCTTGACTAATTAACTAAATCATAAAACGTCTTACGAAAGTAAAGCAGCTTAAAATATTTCAACATATATGTAATTGTGCTGCTAAGAATTCATATTGCACAAAGCTGCAATGGTCATTGTCCGTTTTTCTATTTCTTTAGTTAAAAAAAGTATTTTTTAAACTTAAATTTCCAAAGCTAAAAGGCTAAATAAACTTCTAAAATAAGAAATTTTCTGTTGTACTAAATCCTATTCTCGTTTTTATTATAATTTATTGGTAAATACCTTATACAGGCCTATGGTTGAAGCCCCCCCCCCCCCCGGTGGCACAGCGGTATGTCTGCGGTCTTACAACACTAGAAACCGGGTTTCTATACCCGTGGTGGGCAAAGAACAGATTGCCCGTTGTGTACCTTTGTGCTTAACTTCAAACAAACAAACAAACAATCATGTTTGATAGGTAATGTTACAAATAAAGTTAGCTTTTCATTTCAAAGATGATCATTTGTATTTTTGTTCCTTTTATTTAATTATGTATTAATAGTTCAATTATTTAGACAACTGGAGGAAACATTGAATATATTTTGTTTCAAAGTTAATTATTAACAGCAGTAACAAAATAACTTTCTTCAGACTTTTCACAGTATTGTAGATGTCGTTGTAAAATAATAAATAAGAAACTATTTTATGACATCATAGATACGCGCGTTATAGTGCATGTGATATTAGTGTTGAGCTAGGTGAAAATATTATTGACGCCATATTGCTCATGGTTAGAAATTGGAATAGATGTTAAATTTGTGGTGTGAAAGACGTAAACTGGATTAATAAAGTTTAAGGCCTGTAGACTACTATAAATACACTACAATTATTTAATTATTTCGTCGTTTTATATTGACGGTAAGTTTATATAAGTAGTATTATTGTGTATATGGTGAATTGGATTTGGAAACGCCTGTGTACGCAGCTTTCCAATTTGTAGTTTTTGTTGCTGTTAATCTTTAGGCTTAGTGTGTAATTCAGGTTATAACTTGTAAGTTGCAGTGTTATTTGTGTGGAATTAACACGGGCTTAAATTTTACTTTTATGAAGTAACATTGTTACTGTGTTAGTCTGTTCTACTTTGCACGTATTTATATATATTTGCGAAGAATTAAACGTGACTCGTGAGGCTACGAAACATCAGCTTTAGGCCTAACTAGTTTAGCGCCATTATTGCAGTTAGGCTTAGTATTGTTACTGCAACTTGTAAGCAAATAAAACTGGTAGTATGTTTCTTTCTGGTCACCATAACTTTATTAAAAAATAGAAAATTATAGCCGTGCCTTTTATTGAACGCGATTGGTTTTTCCGAACGTTTGAAATTGAAGCGTAGTTTACAGCATTAACTTTTAAGAGAAATATATCAAAATTTTTACCATATGTCATCAACAGATAAATCATATGATAAAGGGGTCGAAAGAAAATATATCTACGTTAAAATTGTTGTTCTGCAATAAGGTAAAAATGTAAAATACAAAATGTTGGATAAGCACATTTTCAAACATTCCACAAATTCACCTGTATAAAATAATAACCTGATTACGTTACTTGAGACTATTCATGCAAACATGTATATGAGAGAAATAAAATAATCCAGAATAAAAATTCAAAGTTGTAGAACAATATTGAAACCTAAGTCAGTGTTAAAAGTGAGAAAGATCTATGAAAGGAAATGGAAGCTGAAAATATGCTGTGGATGACACAAAACCTATTATCTTTTTCAGCACAGGCTTGGTCCCTGGGACCCACCTCGTAACCATTTTATGTTTGTTACTATTTTCATGCTATAACTTTTAAATTAGTAAGTGTATGTTAACAAAATTTGTTATATTATCAGTAAATATTATAATGCTTTCATATGCAAAATATCAAATCTTTTTTTTATCAAGTCTTCAGGTTTGTTAAGCAATGTTTTTGTAATTTTCATTTTAAGATTAAAAATACTATTATTTATCAGAAAATTTTAAAATTTAACATGCAAAATCTTTATAATGTCCAGATAATTATCAAACGTTTCTTAAGAAAGACTTTATATTTTATCTGTTATTTTCACTAATGAATCTCTGTATGAGTTTGGTAGATTTGACCGATCTCGTAACCACCATAAAATATTAGGAAATATAAATTATGCCTCTTTTGTTCTTGAATGATGACAAATTATGACACAAAAACAAATGTTTAGGCTAAATAGCTTAAAATCTCATAACAGTATATGTTTATATATTTATTATTTTTATTATATTTACCTTTCCTCCATGCCTGACTAACATTACATGTAACCTCATGTTATCGTATCCAATAATATAAAACTGAACTTTAGTTCTTACAAAGTGACCTGTCTTGGCTGAGTTTTAGTCGACTAGTATTTTATAAAATACATTCACATTTCTATTATTATACATTATATGGGTATATAGATTATTGCTATTTACAAATTAGTTCTTAATCTTATTTTTCTTCAAACATAGAACAGTAAATAAAGTAAAGCAAACAATTAACTACACAAAAATTGATGTTTATCTGTGTTTTTCTAATATTTACTTTTAAGTTAAGTAATGTATAATACTAAAATTTGAATTACAATCTACAGTTTGATACTAAACTTATTGACATAAATTCATGAAATAGTAGTTCAATAAAATTTGAATGCAAGTGAACAAATGCTATGACATGGCCTTAGACATGTGACCCATCTGGAGAGGGTTAATGTGGTCATCATGTTTGATCTCGTTTCCATTTATCAACTGTTCAAGATGTGGAATACTGCTTAAATCTTCAATAGTAAAAATTGAAGAAAGAGCAAAATTTAATTTAATGTATTTAAAGGAATACATACTGGTAATTTTTACTTTTTCAGCCAACCTTTTCTCGTACATCCTTTTTGATGTCCTAATTTCCAGTTTCACCAACTTTCTTGATCTTCTGTAATATTCTAAGTCTCCTGTCATACTATTCAATTTACATTTTTTAAACTTATTATCTCTTAAACTCTTTGTGAGCTGACCTGGTTTTTTTACTTGCAGCTACCCTTTTCTTTGTATAAGGAATGATTACGTTGAATATTTAAGAACTTGTCTTTAAAAATTTTCCACATCTGATCAGTGTTTCCAACTGACTTGGCTAGCCAATTAACTACAGATAATTATGGTTGGATCTCTTCAAAATTTGCTTTTTTGAAATTTGTAACCAAAATATCCCTATTCCTCATTTTCATGTGCAGCAAAACATTGAACCTAATAAAGCAATAATTGCTTGCACCCAGATGTTCCCCAATTTCCACCCTCTTGATCATTTCTCTATTCAAAGTTAACAATAAGTCTAAAATAGCATTGTTCCTAGTAGGTTCCTTGACTAATTGGTGAAGAAAACCAATTGCACAGTTTCCAAAACCCTTTTTCCCAAATAGTTTGATTCTAGCATTTCCCAATCTCATTTATTTCATCAATGTCATTTAGTGGTCAAATTCCCACCAAAAGCCTTTTCCCTTTATATCCAATAATAGAACCCAATGGATTCAA